CCTCATATGCATGCAAAAACTGGACAGTGAATAAAGAAGACCATAGAAGAATTGATGCTTTTGAGTTATGGTGTTAGAGGAGAATATTGAAAATGTCATGGGCTGCCAAAAGAACCAACAGACCTGTGTTGGAAGAAGTGCAGCCAGAGTGCTCCTTGGAGCCCAGGATGTCCAAATTTTGTCTCTCATACTTCAGACAGATTGTCAGGAGGGACCAGTCACTGGAGAAGGATATGTTTGGTAAGGTGGAGGGTCAGAGAAACAGAGGAAGACCCCCAGCGAGATGGATTGGCAAAGTGGACTCAAGCATGGCAACAGTAGTGAGGTTGGCCCAGGACCGGGCAGTGTTTTGTTGTGTTTTGCATAAGATCGCTATGAGTCAGTATCAACTTGATGGCACCTAACAATAAAAACAAATATAGGGTTCCTAAGAGTTGCTGGTGGGTTTAAACCAGTGACCTTGTGGTTGGGAACTCCTGGCATGGCACTGTAGGGTAAGCACTGGACTACCATTCTACTCTGCTCCCTGGGGTCACCTCAGCAGCAAAGACTTGGTGGTTGGCCTGCTGAGTGCTGGCCTGGCCTTGGGAACAGCAGAGAGGAATGCAGGCTTTGATGGAGGACAGAGGAAACCAGAACGGAAGTTACAGCAGACCCTATCCTCTGGACTGCTGGGTGCAGCTGAGTGTCGGTGAAGCAAAGTGCAGCCCGGGAAGAGGCTGCGGGGTCCTGAGAGAGAAGAGCTGGCATTCAGGGAGGTGAACAGAGCAGGGAGCTCACTACTGTGTTGACCCTGTGTTGTTGTTGTTGTTGTTGTTGAGAATGTACACAGCAAATAAAACAGCAGTGCAGCCATTTCTCCATGGACACTTCAGTGACAGGGGATGACATTCTTCAAGCTGAGCAAACCTCCCCACGCTCCTTTCCTGAGACCGCCCCATGCCATTAGCCCAAACTCCCTGTCCCCTAAACTTCCTCTCTAATCTCTTGCGTTTCTGTTGTCAAGTTTGACCTCAGACAGATCTTAAAAGAGCAAAATGCTTCTGGCAGACAGTGTTTACTAGTTAAGTTAAATGATTGGTTTTAAGAAGGCTTCAGGGGTAATTTTGGTTGAAGGTTTAAAGATCCTCTAATGGCAGTAGTTTTGGGACAGTCTCCGTGGCTCCAGATAGTCTGGATTCATGAGCATATGAACTTCTGTCTTGCATTTACGCCCTCTAGACTCTGCTGATTCCAATTTTTACTGGGTTGATGTGACTCTTTCTCACCATTAGGTCTGCTGGCAGCCGGCACCGACAAAGGGCGTGTTACCATGTGGCGGAAGGCACCAGGTCCCCTGAGCAGTCGTGGGTCAGAGGGCAAGGACAAGTGGGTCCTGCAGACGCCAACTGAGCTAGAGGGGAACATCACACAGCTCAAGGTTCGGCCTCATGGGAAATCTTGTTAGTGTAGTCTCTCATCCAACCTAAGACCGTATGAAAATGACAGCAAGAAAAACATGCAAGGGCCTTTTGTGTCTCAGAGTTGCAGAACATGCCCCCACATGTGGGGAAAGTGTCACTCTCTCAGAGTGACCGGTCTGCGCACACAAACACCTACTGAAACGGGCCAGCGAACAGTAACGGGAACACAAGGAAAAGGGGAGTGAGCCGATGGATCACTCTACAGGATATAAAGGGTTAATCTCACAAACTCCACACTTTTCCTCATCTCGTGCACTGTTTTCTTCATCTAGTTGCCGATGTTGGCATGCAGCTTGGACTTCATAGATACTGAATGTAATGTAGCTTTTCTCAGAAGGAACCCTGGGGATATGGTGGTTAGACGCTTCTGTACGCTTCTGTACGGTTGGACCCCACCAGCTGCTTCACGGGGGGATTTGTGGCGCAGTTCTAGTCTGTCGTAAAGGGCCATAATGAGATGGCGTCAATTCAACAGCAGTGGCGTGGTTAATCTTTATCAAAACGGGTTTCCAGGTCCTTCTCATGCAGAGCTGCTGGTGGGTGGGAACCGCTGACCTTTTGCTTGGCAGTGGAGCACGTGCCTGTTAGGCTCCCAAGTCTCTACCTGTAGGTTTCATGAGGAAACAGCTGTATGTGTGTGATGGTTCTCTCCCCATAGGGAACACTGTGTTTCTCCGTCATCTGTTGATGGATACTTTTGTTATTAAGTGGGTCTCTATCTGTAGATGCCCTTCTTACAAGTCCCCTATGTGGATCCAGGAGTGGGACTTCTGAATCACTTTTCGGAGGGTGTCAGTGTTTTTACATTTGTAGAGTGCGTGCTCTTGTCTGCTGTTAGGTGCCCCTAAGGCTGTAAGAACTCACAGCAGAAGGAAACCCTCCGCGTCCTGGGCCACCCTCCTGAACCAGTGTGTAGTGCGTCTCACTGAGGGGCTCCCTCTGTTTGCTGGCCCGCTACTTTTCCCAGCACAAGGTGTACATTTTCCTTGATAAGAGTGTCTGAAAAGCCGTCCTGATGTTTGTACAGTGGGGTTCCAGGAAGAGCCTGCTGGCAGTGAACAGCATCAGCTCTGTGGTCATCCTCAGCGAGCAGGCCATGGTCGCTCACTTCCACCACCAGATGGCAGCGGTGCAGCTGTCCTCCAGCCTGCTGCATGTGGCCTTCCTGGCATCCGGCACCATCCACGGCCTGCGCCTGGACATGCACATTAGCGGCGTGTTCGCCAGCAAGGTGAGGCGGGGCGTAGTGGGGACAACCCGTGGCCTGGATGCAGGAAGGTGGGTCCACTCAGGACTTCATCCCGATGCCAGCCAGGGTCATGAAGAAAATGATAATACTGCCACTGTCAACTGCTCAGAAAGGGATCACAGCTGGGGACCAGCTGGAGTATGAGAAAGTGTGGACCTAAACTCAAAATCATCAAAAAGACCAGTCTTCTGGTCAGACAGAGGCTGTTGTAGCCCCTGAGACTGGACCAGGGGTCACCTTTCAGCCAAGCACGAGACAGGTCTAATGGGGAGCAGTAGCACTAGGGAGGTACACACACCCACCTCAGAAAAAACAACCATCTAAGATGAGAAGGGCAGCGTTCAGAAGAGGCAGGAGTGAAGGAGGAGTGGAGCCAGGAAGCCCAGGGAGGACGTGGGAGGAGTGATGTCACACGGAGGGGTCACAGTCAATGAGATGATACAAAACGGGTGCGAGTTCTTCAATGGAAAATCGATCTGCTCTGTAAACCTTCACCCAACTCACATTAAAAAGTTGTGTTTTGGGTTTTGTTTTGTGTTTTAAATGATACAGCACAGGGTGTTCACACCTGTGAAAAACTGGCTACTCCATGCCCATCCAGGTGGTCCAGCTGAGGCTGGGTGACCAGGAGGCAATGTTACCCCTTTGTTTGAGGAGCAAGGCGGGCATTGGAATGTGGCCCGGACCCCCACAATCAGCCTCCACACCCCCTGACGTTTGCTCTTGGGTTTCCATGGCCTTCAGGATGCAGTGGCTGTGTGGAACGGGAAGCAGGTGATGGTCTTTGAACCTTCAGGAGCCGTGCTTCGAAACGCAGGTAGCAATCTGTCTGCACTGACCGAGGGGATGTGGGGTTTCCTGCAGCAGCCTGCCTCTCTACCTCACATCCCTCACTTTGCAGGTACCTTCCTGTGTGAGTCCCCAGTGCTGGCCATGCATGAGGAAAGTGTCTACACCGTGGAGCCAAACCGGGTCCAAGTGCGAACCTGGCAGGTGAGACGTAGTCGACAGGCCCCTCCCTCCGAATGGGGGCCACAGCTTGTCTGTGCTCCTCACTGCTCCACCCGGCCCACCACGTGTGTTAGCTTACATGTGACTTGGTAGCCCAGTGCTGCTTTTGCCTGTGAAATGGTCCCTCAAATCCCTGCGTCTCCAATGTGTGTGGCCAGTAGCTCCTGGGGCCTCGGCTGGGCATCGAGGTGTCCAGCTCCCTGATGTCTCCTTTCCGCAGGGAACCGTGAAGCAGTTACTGCTGTTCTCTGAGGCCGAAGGCAACCCCTGCCTCTTGGATGTCTGTGGGAGCTTCCTGGTGGTGGGCACGGACCTGGCACACTTCAAAAGCTTCGACCTTTCCCGAAGGTGTGCATACTGTCCATATGAAGGCAGCACGTTGTTCAAAGTTGCTGTTAAGTGCTATCGAGTTGGTTTTAACGCATAGCAACCCTGTGTAGGGTTTCTGAGGAGCAGCTGGCGAATTTGAACTCCCAACCTTGTTAGCAGTCCAGGGCTACACCAGGTATAGACATGTGATGAGTAGAAAATGGAATTGAAGCTAGAGAACATCTTTGATTCTGGTTTCAGCATTGACGTCCCACCTGGATTCTGAGGAAGGCTCCCACCCCATCTGGGGGCAGTGAGGGTGGGGGAGTGTTTCTAGGACATCAGGTAAAACCTAAGAAAATCTGAACAAAGCATTTTTAAAAGTCGGAATGAGCCACTGCTGTTTTTAGCTGTTCTCCTGGCAACCCCACATATGCAAAGAGGAAGGCTTCACGGCCCTGCCCAGGCCTGTGTTCTGAGGCACCCTGGGCGCCTGCGGATGGCCAGACCGCGTGCGGGCTGATTGCTTGGGCTACACTGAACCAGGATTATCTGCAATAAGCCAGAAACCACGAGGCGTCAGTGTCAGGGATGTGTCCGTCACAGCTCAGGGGGCAGGCCCGTTCCCCCGTGGAAGCTGTCCCGCTCTTACGGGTCAGATGCACGGAGCAGTGTCTCTCGTGTATTCTTTCTGTAAGAAGATGAAGGGGTTCAGATTGGATCACAAACATACCCGTGTTCTGAGTTGAGAACCCTTGGTGGCACAATGGTTAAGCGCTCGCTTTCGAAGCAGAAGGTCAGTGGTTTGAGCCCAGAAACACTCCAAGGGAGAAAGATGAGGTCAAGAAGACAGCCTCGGAACCCCTCCGGGTCAGTTCCGCCCTTTCCTACAGGGTATCCACTTGATAGCAGGAGGTTGGTTTGGTCTCATCTTTTTCTCTGAGTTTGGCCTGTCCCACGTCTCACATGTGATGCGCGTTGTCAGAGTGCTGGCTCCCTCTGGTTATGTGTGTGTATACAGAGGACTGGGGCCCTCGGGACGGGTCCTTGTCGCTGGCCATCTGCACACAGTGTGGGCACCACGGACCACGGGTATCTGGTCCGGCTGAGCGGTCTTGTTCCTCTGCAGGGAAGCCAAAGTTCACTGTAACTGCAAGAACCTAGCCGAGCTGCTCCCTGGCATCGGTGGCATTGCCTCGCTTCGCTGCAACGCCAGTGGCAACAAGATCAGCCTCCTCCTCACAGAGGTGAGTGCCAGCCGGCAGAGGGCAGGTGTGCTGGCTATTGAAACCTTGTGCCTTCCCTGGCTGCTCTTTGTCCACACACCTGATTGTCACCTCACAACAAGTTCTTCTGTGGCTATGATTAGCCAACGTGCTTGTTAAGTGATGGGTAGGTAGTTGGGAGTGTCGGCGTATGGTTAAGCACTTGACTACTAACCAGTTGTAATCCCCCTAGAGATGAAAGAAAGGTCTGGCAATAACTTTCCCAAAAAATCAGTCACGGAAAATCCTGTGGAGCACACGGTTCTACTCTGACGCCATCAGTGTCAACTCAGCCGCAAGTGGTTTGGCTTTAAAAAAATAAAAAGACAAAAACTCAGGGCCCCCTAAGCAGTAACCCCCATTTCCCCTCCTCCCAGCCCTGGGGGCGACTGAGTTCCTTCTTTCCTTCTCTGTGCACTTGCCCACTCTGGACGCTTCACACTCTGTGTGTGTCCTTTGGTGTCTGATGTCCTAGTCACTGGTTTGTAGAATCACTTAGTCAAGAACTAGTAAGTGAGCAACTGGTTGGGTGGGTGAAGGGCAGAGACAAGCCGGGGGCATGGTTCTCTGCGCCGCAGCGGGGCTGGAAGCTGGGTGATGGGTGGGTGAAGGGCAGAGACAAGTCGGGGGCATGGTTCTCTGCGCCGCAGCGGGGCTGGAAGCTGGGTGACCGGTGAGCTCCCTGTTGTCTTCTCTTCCGTAGCCCGATGGAAGCCCTGACTCCAGGATCTGCTTCTACGACGTGGAGATGGACACGGTGACCACTTTGGACTTCAGAACTGGGCAGATTAACCAGAAAGAGACGCTCTCCTTTACTGGGCAGGAGACCAGGAAGTGAGCATGCACGGGAGAGCTTTGCGGGTGAAATTACTCCTCCACTTCTGGGCAGGTGGTCACTAAACCATGTGCCCCACTTTCTACGGCTGGTCCAGCAGACCCTGTGGGTAGTTCTCTGTCCTACACGGTCACTGAGCCAGAGTCCACTTGACTGCGTTTGGTGTTTGGGTTTCTTCATAAAACAACCTCTTGAAATCCTCACTGTGGCCTTAGAAACTCACCCCTCACCTGCCTCACCCCCCAGCCTCGTCCATGCCAGAGCCCCATGTCCTCAGGTGCACTTGGAACAGCCCACAGAGCTGTGTCCCAGGGACTTTCCCAGGAGCACCCTTGTCTTTCAGGAGCAGCATCTTTGTGGGTGAGACCCTGGGGCACCTTGTCCCTGTGAGCCACTTCTGGAGCCAGACAGAACCAAGGCTGTTTGTATGCGAGGCCATCCCTGACACACGTGGTGTCCAACCACCAGCCACAGAGAGGCAGCCCTCCACCAACACAGGCACGGACCCCATGGTATGCCAGCCGTGCACGCATGTGCAGATGTGTGTGCAGACCACATACCTGTGATGTGTGTTTGTGTACATGTGGAGAGATACATACATGTGTGTACATGTGCATTCATGTGTTTTCATGCTTGGCTATGTGTGCGGTCCTTTTGCATACATGAGGGTGTTTGTGCATGGGTGTACATGTGTTCCTGTATGCTTCTATGCTTCTGAGTATGTTTTCCAGCATGCAAAAGTGTGCAGACCACATACATGTGTATACATATGCACGTGTGCATGCTCGTGTCTACGTGAGTGTGCACGTGTGTGTAGGTGTGTGCTTGAGTCCTGGCTCCCTGTCCCCACAGGCAGACGTCACAGTCCTGTCTTTCTTCGTCTCCGGGGAGCATGGTATCCTGCTGCAGGACAGTTTCCCCCGGCCAGCCCCCTTCCAGGCTCTCCTGGGCGTCGAGGTCCCCTACTACTACTTCACCAGAAAGGTTCGTGGCCCAGGGCTCCCAGCAGCAGCCCCCACCCCCTGGCCCCACGGGTTCCCCATGGAGGACTCCTGGGTGAGGGAGGTCAGGATGGCAGCATGAGGCCAAGGGGGGTTCACTTCTGACAGGAGGTCAGGGCTCTGCAGCTATCCACCCCTGCAAACGGGGGCCTCCCATGTCTTATCTTTCGTTTCTTGAGATTCTAGCTGCCTTTGAAAACATTACAACCTTTTGGGTTCACTATAGGAAACTGAGAAAGATGATAGGAATCCTAATCCCACCACCCAGAGATTGGCGAAGGCCGGCTTCTGTGCTAGTATGCGGGTGCACATGTCTCACACGTATGGCTGGTTTTCAGGTTACACACACACACACGCTCACATGCTGGGCTGTATTGAATGCCTCACATACCTTCCCTGGGACTCCTGTCTCCTCAGTTCCAAGCAGGACATAGAGCATCTACCTGTATTTTCCACTTCTGGAGTTTAGTGGGAAGCTGCCATCGGTGGGGGCCTGCACAATCTGCACAAATCTTTAAAGAAGCAGGCCTTAGTCCACAACCCCAGCACCAGAGACCCCTCGGGACATATGTATCCCACACATCATACCAAAATCCTTATTACCTCAAAAAAATCTTTTTCCTTTTCATTCAAAATGCTTCCCGTTATGGAAAACACGTGGTTTCAACAAAAGTTCAAAACAAGAAAGAATTGGGTCTTGAAAGAGTTAAACCCCGTGTTAATGTAAGGGCTTATGGTGTAGCTATGGTGTCGTCTCCCTGCAGAACTTTCTGAAACCAGATGAAAGCTCTTACTGATAGACCTCCAGCTTTCTCGGGTGGGCGATCTACCCTTCCTAATCTGTGGAAACCCGGATCACAGCCACTTCCCACAGGAGCCCTGGCTGTTCTCTAGACCTGGACACTCAGGCCTATGAGCTCCGTGTTGGCCATCTTAGGATCTCCATGAGGCCACAGACTGGGGGGAGGGACCTTCTCCAGGGAACAGATGTGAAACCTCTATGCACACGGGAGCATATGTGCTTTTCGTCTCTCCTGTGTCTTCCTGGCCTTTATGTTGAGGAGGGACTGACTTGTACAGTCTGGACCTTATTTGTGTTTTCATGAGGTGGCCAGAACTCGACCATAAAAATGAGCAGCTCTCTGTACCCTTCTAGTTTTCTATGACTACCATGTGCGACCCACCGCACTGCTGTCGAGTCGAGCCTGACTCGGGGCCACCCTGCAGCAGCAAGTGGAACGGCCCCATAGGCTTTCCCAGACCCTCCTCTTGGCACAAGTAGACTGCCACGCTGCTCTCCCGCAGCTCTGCTGGTGGGCACTACCGGAGCTCCTTTAGGGCCGCTTCCATGCTTCATTCTTGACTATCCCCAAACAAACGTAATGTTGTTATTGTGTGCCATCATCGAATGTGGTTCCGACCCATGGTGACCCTGTAGGACAGCAGGACTGCCCCATGCTTTCTGAGGCTGTAAATCTCTGAGACGGAGCAGACTGTCGCATCTTAGGGTTAACAGCCAAGCACTTAGCCGCTGCGCCACTAGGGCTCCTTAGCGTGCCTGACTGTGTACCCAAAGGCGTGTGGGGAGTGGAGGGAACACTGAATTGGGGAGGTTAGCGTGGGGACAGCATGTGTAGTCCTTTGTGGGAACCTCTACATGACTGGGTAACCTAGTGCTGACTTTACTGCGCGCACCTCGTCAAAGTAAAAAACAATAGAAAAGTCTCTGAGTGGGTCTCTCCCAGCTTCTCCCCAGGGCTAACTGGATTTGGCATGAAGGATTTAGGCGCTGTCTTAGTCCCTTCATGCTGAAGTAACACAAATACCGCAATTGGAGACATTAAAAGACGGGACTTTGTTCTCTGCAGTGGCTGGAGGCTGGACGTCCAGGTCAGGGCCTGGGCTTTGTGGATACTTTCGGTGGTTTTCCTTCTACTTTCTGGTGTTTGCCGGCAACACTTGGCATTGCTTTGCTTGTAGAGGATTGTCATGTGGCGCGTCTTTGCCCACGCATGCGTGTACACTGCGTCTAGTCTGCTCTTTTTATAGCCCAGAGGATGGGCTCTTTAACATAATACAGAAAAGGGCCACATTCACAGGTACTGGGTTTGGAATTTCAACACTGATTTTGGGGGACACGATTCAATCTATAACCTGGGGGTGGGGTCCAGTGGCTACTCCTTGTTTTGTGACTATTACATGTCCAGGTGGTTCTCTGGGTCTGAGGCTCTGCCAGAACTTCACATAAGAGGATGAGTTAAAAGGTCTCGCCCCTAGGGTTCTAGTTCATATAATGCATAGGTTTATTCCACCTAAAATGGCTGTAACCCTGTCTCTGCAATCAGTGGGTGGCTACAGACACAGTCTCTTAGTAATTAATGCACTTGTCTTAATCTTGTTAAGAAGTCTGGTGTGGCACTGTTTAATAAGCACTGGGTTGTTAATTGCAGGCTCAGTGGTTCAGACTCATCAGCCACTCCTCAGAGACCCTATACAAGGTCATTATGCGTCAAAACTGGCACTCTGTCACAACACTCTTGTTAAGGTGGCACTTAACGATGCACAACGCTAAATGCTAAGATGACACTTGGCATCAGCAATCTTGTTAAGGTGCCTAAAACAAAGAGAAAAGTCCACTCAAAACAGTGGCTTCCAAAGGGGTCTGCTGAGCCAGTGAAACACAAGGCAGAGAGGTCAGCAAATGATTTGGGGGATTCCAAAGGGGTCATCGTCATAAATGTTCCATAGAGGATGATCATGAAGAAATTTTAAGAAAATTGAGAAAAAGCGAGGAAAGCAAGTCCAGGAAAGGTGCATTAAGGAATGTTTTTGTCCATCGTGACAAAGTACCTACTTGTCATTCCAACGTAGCCAAGACTGTCCCATGTGAACTTCATTGGCAAACCTGACCCCGTCCACTCTACAGCCCTGCTCTTGCCCCTTCTCTGGAGACGCCATTTTGTTCTCCAGACTCAAAGAACATTGGGAAGGACCACAATCTGAGTTCCCCAAGAATGCCCTAACTGCTGCCTTGACATGGTTCGAATCCAAGAAGGCAGAATTCTTAGGGAAAGCATTGTTTTTTGGTGTCGGTTCCAACTCGTAGCAACTCTGTGCACAACTGAAGAAAATGCTGCCCAGTCCTGGAGAAGGACATCGTGCTGGTAAAGTCTCCAGAGAACAAGAGAGGAAGTCTTGCCATCATCACTCATAAGGAACACTTGGGCCATACTTCTTCCAAAACAGATGGTTTTCTTCTTTTCTTATGGCAGTCCTTGGTACAGTCAATATTCTTTACCAACACTGAGATTCAAATGCATCAATTCTTCTAAGGTCTTCATTATTCACTGTCCAGCTGTCGCATGCATATGAGGCTATTGAAAATATTATGACTTAGTCCTCAAGCTGACATCTTTGCTCTTCAACACTTTAAAAAGGTCTTGCGCAGCAGATTTGCCTAATGCAATACGTCATTTGATTTCTTGACTGCTGCTTCCGTGAGTGTTGATAGTCGATCCCCAAAGAATGAAGTCCTTGACAACTTCAATCTTTTCTCTGTTGATATGAATGTTGTTTATTGGTCCAGTGGTGAGGATTTTTGTTTTCTTTACATTGAGATGTAATCCATACCGAAGGCTGTGCTCTTTGATCTTCATCAGTAAATGTTTTAAGTCCTCTTCATCTTCAGTAAGCAAGGTTGTATCATCTGCATATTAACAGGTTGTTAATGAGTCTTCCTCCATCCTGATGCCACGGTTTTCTTCATGTGACCCAGTTTCTTGGATTATTTGCTCAGCATACAGGTTGAATAAGTATGGTAAAAGAACACAACCCTGTCACACACCTTTCTTAATTTTAAACCATTTAGTGCTCCCATGTTCTGTTCGAACAGCTGCCTCTTGGTCCAGGTACAGATTCCTCATGAGCACAATTAAGTGTTCCGGAATATACATACTTCACAATGTTGTTCATAGCTTGTCATGATCCACACAATTGAAAGCTTTTGTGTAGTCAATAAAGCACAGGTAAACATCTTTCTGATATTCTCTGCTTTCAACCAAGATCCATAGGACATCAGCAATGATACCTCTCGTTCCACGGCCTCTTCTGAATCTGGCTTGAACCCCTGGAAGTTCTCTGTCAATGTATGATTGTAGCCGTTTCAGTATTACCTTTAGCAAAACTTTACTCGCATGGGATATCAAAGAGATTGTCCGAAGATTTCCGCATTCTATTGAGTCACCTCTTTTTGGAATGGGCACAAATGTGGATCTCTTCCAATCAGTTGGCCAGATAGTTGTCTTCCAAATTTCTTGTATAGATGAGTGAGTGCCTCTAGTGCCTTTTCACTTTCTTGAAATATTTTTTTATTCCATCAATTCCTGGTGCCTTGTTCTTTGCCAATTCCTTCAATGTACCTTGGACTTCCTCCTTCAGTAACATTGGCTCTTGATCATATGGTACCTCTTGAAATGGTTGAACATTAACCATTTCCTTTTGGTACAGTGACTCTGTATATTCCTTCCATCTTCTCTTGATGCATTCTGCTTCATTCAATAATTTGTGCAGAGAATCTCACAATAACGAAAGTTGAGGGTTGAATTTTTTTTTCAGTTCCCCCAGCTTGAGAAATGCTGAGCGTGTTCTTCCTTTTGGGTTTTCTGATTCAAGATCTTTGTAAATTTTGTTGTAATATTTAGCCTTATCTTCTCGAGCTGATCTTTGAAATTTTCTGTTCAGCTCTTGTACCTCCTCATTTCTTCCATTTGCTTTAACATCCTGATGCTGGAGAGCAAGTTTGTGTCTCTTCTGACATCCATTTTGACCTTTTCTTTCTTGTCTTCTTAATGACTTTTTGCTTTCTTCATGTATGATGTTCTTGATGTCATCCCACA